TCGAGGCGCTACCAGGAACGCCAAGCAAGGAACGAAGACCCCTATCTTGGCCCCGGGGAGCGCCTAGGTGCACGAAGAGTGACAACGAGAGGAGAGGCAAGCAAAAAAATACATGAACACGAACGTTCGGGGCGCTGGCCAGGCTTCTCGGATGTCCGCGCAGGCCCCACCCCCACCCACCCTCCCTGGCTTGCGGAGAGCGCGTCAGGGGCCGCCTGGGGGCCAAAGACGCCCATCCAAGAGATCCGCGCGGACCTCCGAGAAGTTATGCCTATATGACGTTCTGCTCCTCGAACGAGGCGAGGTATACCTAAGCTCTCAACTGCCACACGGTCCAGCCTCCTCGCCGTGCCAAGCTAAGCAAGGCCCATCGATGCAAGAGCCCCTCGCCCTCCCCTCGCGGGCCCTGTCTCTATACTGCCCCACCCCCTCCTCTGCCTCCTCCTCGTTCTCATATTCCCTCTCCTCTTCCACCGCCTCGTCCTTGTCGACGTCCCCCCTCTCCCCGAAAGCCGCCGTCGACTTCAAGTAGCCAGATGCACAAGAGCCCCCGCTCCACGGACCACCAGTCTCGGCAACGCGGCAGCAACAAAAACATGCATGCAGAGGAACCTGTGTAGATCGGTTTGGTCTGCACCAGTACTCCTAAATATGAAGCGAGGTATCTGTGCAGAACAACCCTCCTAGCTCAGATGTGCTGTGCTTCGCTCTCCGTAGCCAGCCAACCAGCCTGGACTTTGCTCGGCTCCCCGCAGAACCTAGACCGAGGCTGGTGGTCTCAGTACTGGTCGTGTGCTTACACGCCCTATGTTTGCTTTGCTCGTCCTGCACGTCGGTAAGATCACCAGTGGCCCCCACACCTGTCCATGCTATCAGTCTGGGCTACGTCTTCGAGGCTTGCCAGCGACTGCTTCGGAAAGCTGCAGGTCTCTGGATGCGCGCTCTGGAATTACAGCCGGGGCGTTGACCTAAGGAAGGATAAAGAAGGAACGAGGTCCCCTTTTCCCATGAGTTGAACTCCGATGTTCCACGGAACACCTCAGGAAGACCCAAGGAGCACTGTGAAACGACTAAGGACCACGGAGCCCCTCCCAAACGAAAAGGGTTCCTTCTTCAGCGGCCCGACAATACTCCGGATTCCATAATAAAGTCGGGGGGGGGGGTCACATTTGGGGGGGGGGTCTGATTTGAGCTGTCTTGGAGGGTTCGGGGGGGTCTGGGCAAAGGGCCGCCCTTTCATGGATGGTCTGGGAGGGTCTAACACTTCTCTTCTGGGAGGGTTGAGACCCCCTCCCTTTTATTACGAAATCTGGAGTAGGTGGCATCTTGACGATGCGCCCCACAAAGAGACTGGCCTCCGAAGAACAGCTCGGGCGTGGCGACCACTGGGGGAAGGGGCAACACAGAGACGACGGGGCCCCGCCCTGCCGAGACGCTTTGCAGCAGACAAGCACCCAGTCTGCGCGACAGCGGTGGCAGGCGGAGGCGGCAGATCGCTCCTCCTCCTCCTCCTCCTCCGCCTCCTCCTCCTCCTCCCTCCCTCCCTCCCTCCCTCCATCGAAGGGCGGGCAGGCAGCAACTATCAAAGAATACAGTCGGGGCCTTGACCTAAGGAACCCAAATTTTAAGGAACGAGGCACCCTTTTCCCATAAGTTCAACTTCGATTCCCCATGGGAAACCTGAGGACAACCCAAGGCAAACTGTAGAACAATCAAGGAACACCGAGCCCCTCCCCAACGAAAAGGGTTCCTTCTCCAAAGCCCCGACTGTAAGAACCTCCCAACACCGCCCGATGAATCCAGGCTCCGCAGGAATACAATGCAAGCCGCTGGCTGCAGGGACTGATGTTTTTCCGTGATCGCCGCGCTGCCTCACAGCCGTCCGGTCCAACGGCCTGCGCCCAAGTGGATTCACCAGTAGGCATATCGGTCGGGCCCTTTGGAACGTCAAGCCGGGGAAACTGCACGACTGTCACAGCAGGTGCGGCTCTAGAACGTTGCACCCTCCTCCCTCAAAGTCTGCACCAAGAGCGACGCGACGGTCTCGTCGTCACCGATCTGGTCGATCGTGCTTCGCAAGCTTTCAATGCACGTGTTCCAGTCCGTGCAC